ACTCTTGGAGATAAAAGAGTGGGTTGCCCCGGTATCACATAAAGCAAACACAGGCATATCACATATATGAAGCATCCCAGACATAGTACCTTGGTTCGCATCTGCCTCACGCTGGTTCAGGGCAAACACACGGGCTCTCCCTCCTCCTCCTTGGATCTGGGCCTGCTGCTGAAACTGCTGCTGAGGTTGCTGTTGGGGCTGCTGCTGCCCCTGGCCTCTCTCCGGGCAATCAAAGGCCATGTGTCCCTCCTTCCTGCAGTAGTAGCAAATCCTCTGACACGCTAAGCACTGTCCCCCGTGAGCCCGGCCACAGCTGCCACAGGGTGGCCGAGCTCTCGAAGCCTGCTGTGCTGGCTGACGGTCACCACGTCCACCATTCCCTCCATTCTTGTTCTGTTGGTTCTTCTTCTTGCCTTCGAACTTTCTCTTACCGCCACTACCGGACGGCTGGGCAAAAGGCTGCTGATGAACAACTGGTTGTACCTGGACTGGTTGGAACATTGGTGGTTGCATAGAAACTGGCTGGATCATCATGGGCGGGGCCACTGCTTGCTGAGCTAAGTCTAACTCTACACGCTGACTAGCCGCTATCTGCTGAGCTCTCAGAATGGTCTCTGCATAGGTCAGGGACCCATGGCTACTCAGTACGAAGCGAATGTCCTTCTGCAGCCCGTTCAGAAAACGACGGGACTTTTTAAAGTCAGTGTCCACCATGTGCGGGGCAAAGTGGCTGAGTCTGGAAAATTCACGCTCATACTCCTCTACGGATAGGTTTCCTTGCTTCAGGGCATAGACCTGCCCCTCCATCTGCTCCCGAAAATAATAAGGATAGTACCTCTCTGAAATGAGGAGCTTCATCTGCTCCCAGGTCATAGCATTTCTCTCGGCTGTAGTCTTAAGGCGCCAAACATCTGACCACCATCTACCCGCATCCCCTATCATCTGGAAGCGGGCACAGGCAATCTTCTCCTGGTCTGAGTAGTTAAGGACCTCAAAGATCCTCTCAAGGTTCATGAACCAGTCATCAACTGCTTGTGGCCCGTCTGCCCCGGTGAAAGTCGGTGGGGACATACCACGAAACTGACCCAAGATATGAACATTGTTCTGCCCCTGAACAGGAGGGGGTTGATGGAAGACAGGGGGATGCTGATGAGGTGGGGGCTGCTGAAAGATCGGTGGCTGTTGCTGATTAAGAGGGTCTGGCTGCTGGTCGCCACCCCTAACTCCTCGGCCTGCTCGTCCCCCTCGTCCGGCTCTACCTCTGCCTCTTCCTCTGGTTGCCATAAGCTAGCAGAAATAGAGGAAACTTGAATTTAACAAAGGAGATCTAACTGGAGTTATAAGAATTGAGAGGAGAATGTTCTAGGCCCCAAATCTAACTTATAATTATGCAAGTCACAGAAATGCACAACTTAGACATCTCGAATACTTTAACTACTTAACTTACCTCGAAGCTGGAGCGGCACGGCAGAGGCGGGTGGTCATATACATACTCAAACTGGAGGATTATGAAAAATTTTCTAACTTTGAAAACTTTGCAAGTCTACAGAACCATAGACCCGCTCTGATACCACACTGTAACACCCACTTCTGATTTAAAGAAAATAGTAATATTTTCAAGAAAATTTAAAC